GGCTTATAATAATGCAGGGTTTATGTAATTGAGTAAATTTACAATTCGATGCATATGAATAGAAACCCCATGCGTATTGTGTGCAATTTTTGTGTTTGATCATGATTTGGAAATGCTTTTTGTTGATTGTTCTATGTTGGCCTTTTTGCATTGTATGCATTAACTTTTTGTCCATTGTCATTTCTTGGAAGAATAACCGTAAAAGATACACGACAGTCACATGTTGGGACAAAAGTGTTGATCCAGATATGTTAGTATTAAATTTAAGCTAATAAGAGCATCNTTCCATAATCATTTACAGGTAATTTTAAAAGTAAAGAGATTCGGTTCCCATAGTATATATGCTATAACATTATTCGGCAAACAGAAGGAATCTACATTGAACCACTTCATGTAGAAGCTTAATCTCTTGGAGGGGAGACAAATTCATTTATTTAATTTTTTGTTCAACACGCCCCCTCATGTGCAGATGAGATTTAGGGCCCGTTTGATTCTCATAATTGTAGAATGAGAATGAAAAATATAGTCGTTATTTGGCTCCACACAAGAAACAAAAATTGAAAATTGATGGTTTGATGTGATGGATAACGGTCATATTTTTCATTTTTATGGATGAAAAATGAGAAACAAACGAAGGCTTAGAGAGTAAATTTTTTTTTTATAACAGTGTTCTCTATTTTGGCTCTTTATTTTTTTGAAGAAATATTTATTGATTTCTCTTCATCTTTTATTTCACATATTTTGTTATATATCAATCGCCAATCAATTTAAATATGATTTGAATAATTTAAAAAATAGAGTATTGAAATATGTAATTTATTAAATGCAATCCTTATATAGTAAGAATAGAGAGTGTGTTTGTCTCTCTCCAAACTTACTTTCTATTTTAAAGGGTTAGAATAGAGTGTGTATTAGAACTTATATTTAAGCATTTACTCTCTAAAATATAATGCATTTTGTGTTTAGAGAGTCTATTAGATATGCTCTAAGACGATAACATGAATCTAGAGGTTGATATTTGCGTTACCTTTTGTTTGAAGCTTGTTGATGGTATATTCCAGTAGACATGTCATGGTCACACGACACACGCTCATACATAAATCCACTTCAGTTATCTATCATATTTATACTCTTGAGGATCGTGCTCACTTAGCTTGTTAATTCTCGGGATCTTTAGTTTTGTTTTTCTCTTTCATATCTTTGGTCGAGTGATAATTTCATATATTATTCAGGTCAGTTGTTGGTTCTCCAAACGAAGACTTACATATATGTTGTGCTTGCGATGTTTCATAATGATTACATGCATCTTTTTGTCTTTATTAGGCAAAGAGGATGTGCTTTTATTTTACTTTGCAGGACTACCTGAGATCTTAACTTCATATTTTGTTGTGGAATCTTTCCAGATTGGCTTGGATGGAATTCGTATGCTTGACCCAGCAACCAGTCGGATTCTGCGAATTTATCCTCTCGACACAATAACTAGATGTGAAGTACGCTTTTATTTATACTTTTTTTTTCTTTTTTCTTTTTCAGTGTGAAGGTGTATGGTTGGGACTTGGGTCGATGGGTTTATATGCTATGATAGCGACATGGACGACTATGGACTTGCAGTCTTAGAAACTTCAAGATTCGCAGGCTTTATTATGAAAAATTATGATTTTGGTTTGAAGTGAGCTCAATTGCTGTCCCTAACATATGCATTATCTGTCACCTTCTAAACTTGAATTATTAAATACGGGGGTGTCCTCCAATTAATTTTATTTGCTAGATATTTGACTAAACTTTTGGGACGGGGATAATGCTTAGGGCAAGTGGAAAAGTTTATGGGAGTAGATGGGTCATACGGGAGCGGCCGAGAGGCCATATAAGTTTACATCATGTTCATTGCTCTCATGAATTGCTGGCGTTGCTAAGAATTTATAGGATTAGGTGTTGTGATCCAAATTATATTAGGTTCTTTTGGTCTCTGCTCTTGCTCCTTTTTTGTTGTGTACCTTGGCTGAATGCTGACTGAGGAATTTGTTTTTTACTTTTTAGGCTTTTGATTCTTCAACATTTGCTTTTTGGTCAAAAAGTTCTGTGGACTTTGAACCAAGGCGTATCAGGCTGCAGTCAAATAGTTATACCACCAACACCATTTTGGATACTGTTACAGCGGCAACTGTACAGGTCTGAAATTGATAGAAAATGACTCTCTTGATCGTGTAATAACATTTACAATTCTATGAAACTTCGTTGACTCTTCCACACATTTTTGTAGCCCTATACTCTTTTGCTTTCACACAGCCACTCATCAGATGGTAAAATGTTTATGACTCATTCTTTAAACTGCAGTTTAAGGAGATGGGTGGAAGAAGTCGTCCTTCTGAAACTCCTAAGATTGCTGAACAACCAACTGATAAGAAGAAAGGCTTTGCAGACTGGATGAATAAAATAAAGCCTGTTAATGAGGAGAAAGATCACTGGGTAAGATGGCGTTCCTTTATTTTGTTTATTTGAGTGGGTGAAATTTTTTATTAATACTTGTTTTCCTAGGTGTTACTCAATAAAATTCATTTTTCATGTATTGTCCAAATATCTCTGAATTGTCGAATCACTTGAGAGGTGTTTGTATAAGTTTATAGTATTGATGAAATTGTATGGGCTTGAACATAAAATTACATGGCTTAGCTCATATCCAGCTTGAGTTACGGGAAAAGTAGTTTTTTATTTGGCTTTTATGGTTGTAAGCGTAAGGTGCCTGTCTGGAAATCGTTTTAGAAGTGGCAAGTTTCCCTGTGGAAAATGAAAAAAGATGGGGGCCAATCCTGTTGAGAAGATGTGAGATGATCAGTGCTTTACACTAAATTTCCGGTAGAATCATGCGATAGGTGGCTGTTGATGCTGTAGCTTTTCTCCTTAAAAAGAGATCTTTGATATATTCTTGAACGAAGAAAGGAATTTATAAGATACAAAAGGAGAGTAGGGGCAATTTGAAGGAGGGTCTGATGTGATATTGGATCGGGGGCTGCATCTTGAGTGGAGACAATAATTGTTCAAGAAAAGGCCCTTCGTCCCTGTTTTTATTGTCTTGCAATAAAGTCAATGGAATGCGGAGAGCCTTACTAATGGGGATCCTAGAAGATATTATTATTGAAGATTTTACATATTTGATACATAATTAGGGTTTTTAGATTCTCTAGTAGTTTAATATATTCTCTGTTATTTTGTTAGATGTTTCTTACTTGAACTTGATAGATTATCTAGTATTCTACTAGATATATCTTACCTAAATTAGACTTAGTTGAAACCCTATATAAAGGGGGCTTATGCTTTGTAATAAGACACAACTTTGATAGTGAAATAAATTGATATTATCCCCTAATTTCTATCTATTCTCTAACTCTTCTCTCCTTTCCCTTTCCCTTTCCCTTTCCCCTTCTCCTATAACTGTTCTATACTTCTATTGCATCTTACGTCAATTTGGTAAGAAAGCAATTCATTCTCTTTTGATCTATACCTTCTCAAATCCATCAATCGTTCTCATCCCATCCATATACATGTTGTCGCCTTCGACCATCCATCCAATCCCTACAACCACCTTCCATACACAACCCTTTTCACCCATCACCAAAATACAAAATAGAAATTAAAGAGCAGCAACATTTTTTCAAGCTCTTTAGTATTCGTTCCTAGTTAGTTCAATAAAAAAGTAAATCCGCTTTCAATACACAACCCTCAAACCCCATAATATATCCTAGAAGATATTATTATAGAAGACTTCCAATATTTGATACATAATTAGGATTTTAGTTCTCTAGTATTTTAATATATTCTCTAGTATTTTGTTAGATGTTTCTTACCTAAATTTGATAGATTCTCTAGTATTTTGTTAGATATATCTTACCTAAATTAGACTAATTGAAACCCTATATAATGGGGCTTATGCTTTGTAATAAGACAAGTTTGATAATGAAATAAATTGATGTTCTCCGCCAATTTCTCTCTATTTTCTCCCTCTTCTTCTCTCTTATATCCCTCCTTTCTCTACTTCCCTTTCCCTTTCCCTTTCCCTTTCGCCTTCTCCTATAATTGTTTCATAACATCCTAAATCACTTACCCTCTCCATGAATGCAGGGAAGTAATATTCCCCTAATTAAAAATTTAAAAAGAGATAGCATGCTGCACCTCTTTCTTTCTTTTTTCATTTGCCTTTTGTTCTTGCTTTTTATGATTGCAAAATTATTCATTAGCTATTATATCCATTAAACATGGTTTGAATCTGTGTCATTTATATTAAGAGTGCATTTTTTTATGCCTATGTTCACTTTTAGGAGCACTAGTCTTTTAAGTTTTAGTTTGTCCAGGCTTTCATTCATTTCCTGTTTAACTTTAATAGGTTCCTGATGAAGCTGTAACAAAATGCACAGGCTGTGGGACAGATTTTAATGCTTTTGTGCGCAAGGCATGTCCCTTCTTTCTAGTTTACATCTATCTCATCTTTATTCTGATATATATTACAGTTTGTATGATAATGACAAGGCCCCCCTTTTTTCAGCATCACTGCAGGAATTGTGGAGATATATTTTGTGACAAGTGCACTCAAGGCAGGACTGCTCTTACAGCTGATGACAATTCTCCAGTTGTTAGAGTTTGTGACAGATGCTTGGTATGTCGCAACGACTAATGTTCTTCTCGCTCGTCGTTTTCCATAGTTCTCTCAGAAATCTTGCAGACTAACTTAGCATGCCATTTCTTTATAGGCTGAAGTTTCTCGTAGGTTGAGCACTGCTAAAGATTCTTCTGTCAGTGGATCAACTGGATTGCCAAGTCATGAGGATCTTGCCAAAAAGCTTCAGGTGACACTTAATCTGAAGTTTCCTCCACGGCATTTATTGTGTTATTTGTCTGTCGCCATTTATTGATGATATATAAGCTTTGTCCCTCTCTAATAATAATATGGTGCATGCTGTGACAACCTATGCTGACACATGCACTCGAACTCAAGAGACTTTTTTTTTTCTCGTCTCCTTGTATCCGTTGTTATTTCTCTCTTAGAATGTCAAACTGTCAAATGTGTGGAACATTATCATGTAAATTAATTTCTTGTTGGTATTATAAGCTTTCAAATTGAAATATGTTTAGGCAGTTGAATATCCTTCAAGTGTTGTGCAGTACTACATTGCATTCATAACATTCCCAAAAGTTCCATGATACTGGTGAACATGAGCAGAATAGCTCTGAATTCTGATGCTGAGATTTAGGTGGTACTATGGATTAAGCATGACAACCACTCATTTGCATTATGCCTGAATGAAAATAATTCTTGTCAGAGCTTTTAATTCATCTTCTTTCCTAGCATTTCCATGTTCTATGTAGTGTTGTTCTTAAAATAGGATGAATTGGGTTTGTCAAACTGTTGATATCTTTCGCTGGTTTTTACAGGAGGAGATGGAAAGAAACCGCAAGGCATCATCAGGTAAATTTTAGTGCTGAACCATGTAATCTTGTTCCAGTTTGTGGCTTTTACCTATTTGTGGTGCATATGTTTGTGCTTTTGTTTCTAGAAAAGTTGGCTTGGCATTTTTTTGATGTTTTAAGGACTTCGTTATTACCAAATCCAATCCAGTCTGTGCTTGTCTGAGGGTGTTTCTCTTTGAGCACTTGATCTCATTTGTACTTGGTTTCTTCTGTCATTTTTTTTTCATGTTTCTGGATTTGGAGTTTAGAAAATGGGAGTTCGTTAGGTTTCCACCATTTGGCCAGATTTATTGACCTGCTTTTTAGCAGTTTTTGGCTCCTCCAGGTGTTTAAATGACAATAATTGTTCCTACTGAAGCAAAAATTGGATGGCCTACCATTTATGGTGTTGTTCACTTAGTCATTTTTTCATGGTTAATTATGTAACATGGTTTCTGTTTCAACATATTTGCTTCTTGGAGATGACTTGGATTGGATAGTATTCTATTCTAGTTGTTATGGCTATGCCTTGATTTTTAGATTGCAAATGGACAGCCAGTTATGCTATTTTTTCTGCATCAGGCTCCAGGTCAGATGGTTCTGGAAGGCGGATGAAAGAGGTTGCCTGCCCTACCTGTACAGTCCATTTGCAGGTTCAAATAATTCTGCTTGCATTTTTGTAAATTGTCACGTTGCTTTCTTCAGAATTACATCGTGTTGTACGAAATTGGTGCAGGTTCAAGTTCCCAGTTCAGGCTCCGAGACCATAGAGTGCGGGGTTTGCCAGCATCCTTTCCTTGTCAGTTCTCACTGATCCATGTGGGATTGATTGTCACATTCCCCTTCACAGTTGTTAGTCATTTTATTCAATTGTTGAGTTCTCTGGCAAATAATTTGGGTTTGCTTGGAATTGTCCTTTGGTTGATTTTTCTGAATAGACGTCGATGAGCTGGTTTTGAATTAATTTTCTGTATTTTGGAAATCTTATGATTGCTTTAATATGTTATGCACTGAAGTTAATTGACATATAAATGTAAATCAATGTTTATGTTAATGGGTTTTTTCTTCTTTTGTACAACAATCAAGTACAACTAACATGTCACATGCTACATAGAATCATGCGACACTTGTTTGACAATTTGTGAATAAAGATGTTCAAATTTTATTCATCACCCCTGCTCAGTGTAGCGTTGTCCAATAACATAGTACATTCTACATAGGTGTACATACTAAATAGGTTGAGTCCGTTCACTTTTGGGGTGGCTTGACATGGTCGGACAAATGAGGCTCTGCATTGCGCGACCCAATATCTTGATAGGTTGGACGGCCCTACCCATGTTTACGCTGCTATACCGTGCCTTGGAGATTTGGCTGAACTATTATTTGATCATTATCAGAAACTAAGAGTGTTCTGTAGTCTTTACCGTTCATTTTATGAACGGTAATGACTTTTATGAACTTTTTAAGTTCCACCAAAAAGAGAACATTATATTTTATTGGAAAAGTCAATATTGTGGTTAGTTCGAGCTTGAATTTCTAACCAAAAGGGTAATGCTATTCATAGTAAAGAATAAATTACTAGCAATGGTAAAATTATCACTTAATGTGGTAGTTTGGCAAGACAATTAATGTAGTTTGGTAACCTTTTAATATACATGGCAGTTTGTTATTTGATACACTAATGTGGTAGTTTTTTATTGTTTCATGCATCAGATAATGAACTGTTATGTGTATGCCACGTAGGACGACTATCGATAGTTTTCACTATGAATAATATTATTCTTGTTTCAACCAGATAATCAAAACCATTTTAATTGGCTCAATATAGAATTTCTTACGCAATGTTTTGGATGCATACGAAATTTTGTTGAAAGCTGTATTCGATATGCTCGATATTAACATCCCCTAATATTTGGATCCACAAATATGTATATGATGCCTATTCTGATAAATTAACATATCATACGATCAAATTACCAACCGAAAATTTCACTTTTATGACAAAAATAGAAGCAATTTTGAGGTCTAAATAGCTAGCAAAAACTATGAAAGTGAAATTCTTTAAAGGTCAAACGGAAGATGCCAACACAAGCACGATTTACACATCCGACAGTAGAAATTAGAAGTCCAGCACGACTCAACCTTGAAAGAAAAGAAGCAACTATCTTTCATGTTGAATACAAATTAGTCAACTACCTTTCCGTTCCCCAGCTATGCATGCTTCTGTTTGGACTGAACTAAATTTCGTTATCGCCTTTATTTCAGCTGAAGAATTGGGAATTAAAGCTCTTCTGCCTCCATACCTTGATCCATCACTAAAGCTCAATATCTCGTTACAGGCATAAATTTTGCATCTGGAGCTCGAGGATATGATCCTCTAACAAATGATATCGAAGTACATTTCTGATTCAGTTTTTACTTATTAATTATCCCAAACTTCTGCTAATTTGTCAATCTTACGGTGAAATGCAGTCGGTCCTTTCGTTATCGGATCAGTTAGAATTGTTCAAAGAGTTTCGGATAAATTAGTGCATAAATTATATATACGTGCATGTAAATATAAATAGAATAACGACTTATCGAATCCATTATAGGTGCATAATAATGACCAAATAGCTACTTACTCAAATGTAAAAATACGAAAGAAATGAAATGAAGCGAAGTATGTGAATGCACATTTTTTTAAAACTGATTTTGTCCCCTGCACTGGTGTAATGAACATCCGTCTCCTAAGATACAACACTTCTTCCAAAATTAACATAACGCACTATTAATTTTGTCAGGCGAGCCAACGCTTGACTATACTATTCTAGAATTGAAGATGTCGAATAGTGAATATCAAACATGAAACTCAAAATAATATGGAAATTATTTTGAAAGAAGTTAGATAAAGGAAGAATAAGAAATCAATTATAACGAATTGATTTTGAGTAAAGAGAATGGAATTAGGAGGGTCCTATTTATAAATTTTCATGTGTCTCTTCCTAACAGTTGCATATTTTAGCAAAAGTCATTTCAACCATTAGATTGCACAATTTCATGATTGACGGTCTAGATTGCACCTTATCAAAAGGTCGTAACGTTCGTTAAACATCTTTTTCACTCGAAGAGTCGCACTCAATCAATGTACCTATTGGAGACTTTTTCAATTCACACATTCAAATCTTTTTATATACCCTAAAATTCCTACAAAGAGTATATATTGAAGCTTATGGAGAATGTTGTAGAAAAACGAACGTCCAAAATCCTAAGAAAAAGTCTAGTTATAGCATTTACTGGAAGCAATGACATTGCCAATACATATTTTGGTACTCCTCTGCGAAAATACGTTTACAATATTCCTTCATATACTGATCTAATGGTCAGTTATGCTTCCAGCTTTGTACCGGTAAAATCTGGCGGCCTTTGACCTGCAATTCTTGTTTGGTAGTTGGTACACAGTATTGGACACGATGACTACCATACTTATTTGCTTTTCGTGCATTATGTTTGAAGGACTTGTACAAATTGGGGTCACATAGAATTGGTGTTTTTGGGTTGCCACCACTAGGATGTCTGCCATCGCAAAGAACTTTGAAAGGAGGATTGACAAGAAAACGTGTGGACTCTTATAATCAAATGGTTCAGTTATTCAACAAGAAGTTATCGTCCGAGCTGAATTTGATCAATAGCAGACTCCTTGAATCACGGATTATCAAAATGTTTAAAATTACAATAGAATACTCCAAATATCAAAATCAAGAAGCCTTCAAATTACAGTTTTCCCTTTCATTCTTTCGTCTAATCAAAATTACATGGAGTAACCAGAGGTCATTACTAACCCTCACACACTATTTACTTCAAGTAAGTGATGCCAATCAATCAGGTCAGCCACTTTGGATCAAAAAATCATTGGGCTTGAACACTTAAGTGGCCTACAAGCTTACGACTCATAGATCCTCAAGCAACACATGAAGAATTTCTTCTGAGAGAACCCAGGGCCGGTCCTGTGATCGGCGGGGCCTGAGGCGAAGTCCTAAAATTGGGCCCCCGGAGATCAACGTAAACGCAAAATCCAACCGCGCATTATGCAACGTATTGCAAACTTAACACTGATGTGTATAACAACAAACAAATATAAAGAATAAAAGATTTATATATATTATAAAGTAACAAAACCAAAAAGAGTTCAAACAATCAGTTAAATACTATTTGTCTCGCTGTTTTAGAGGCAAAAACATTAATCAAATCTGAATAATTTAATTGTTCAACCATATCTTTCTCTATTGATNCCTTTAATAAGAGAACCCAAATTTTTCTTGAGAAATCATCAACAATCAGTAAAAAATATCTATAACCAGACAATGTGCATACAGGTGCAGGTCCCCATAAATCAGCATGCAGGTAATCTAAAATTTGTTTTGATTTATGAGTTCCTGTAGGGAAAGGTAATTTGACTTGTTTACCTATAACACATTGCTCACATGATCCAAAATCACCAAGATTCAGTTTTCCAAAAAATCCTTTTGATTGCAAATAGTTCAGACTTTTCTTACCAATATGACCAAGTCTATCATGCCACAGTTTTGCGAGTGTAAAGTTTTCAGATATGGCAGCAGCAATCAATCCAAGTAAAGGTTTTGCATTTATGAAATAGAGGCCATGTTTCTTAGGGGAACTAATGATTAAATCATTGTCTCTAAGAATTTTGATATGTCCTTGACCCACATTTATGTTAAACTCCAAGTCATCTAACATGCCTAAGGACACAAGGTTTCTTTTCAAGTCAGGTACATACCTAGTTTCTTTAAGAAATAGTGCATTGCCATTTTCTAGCAGTAGTTTTATAGTACCTATTCCTTTTACTTTACAGGTAATATCATTTTCCATAATGACCAACCTACCTGTGGTCTTGGTAAAATCCAGAAAACAGTTTTTGTTGGGGTACATGTGAAAGGAACAACCTGAGTCTAAGATCCATTCATCACTTAATTTTCTTTCCACATTAACATGGACTTAACCATTTTCAGTATTAACATTAGCTTTATGATACACTAGAGCATTATTCCCATCCTCTGGTTTCTTATCTTTGAAATCATTTTTCTTTTTGAAACAATCTTTTGCAAAATGTCCAAACTTCCCACAGTAATAACACTTTTTACCCTTAGCATTAGGCTTAGACTTATGTTTATCATTAAATCTGCTTTTATTTTCAATAAAAGGTTTAGGATGGTAGTCAGATTTTCCAAAACTCTTTCCTTTTACCCACAAGCCATCCCCAATGTGATTGTTTCTAGATTCATATTTCATCTCTAGAGCCTTATTCCTTAAAGCATCTATTATAATGTCAGTAGTGAGGTTTTCCGTACCATACTCTAGAGTAACCTTAATATCCTTATATCTATCACTGATGGAGTTTAACAAAACTACAGCCATCTGATCTTTTGAAAGTTTTTCATCACAATTGGCCAAGTCTTGGGTAAGTTTTGTAAATCTATTTAAATCTTCATCCAAATCAACTGAGGGATCCATTTTGAAAGAAAATAATTGTTTTAGTAAAAAACATTTATTTAGGGTGGTCTTAGTCACATATTTAGCATGCAGTTTAGTCCATAATTCAGAGGCAGTCTTAGTCTCACCAATACTTCTTGTCACATTTTCAGACAAGTATAAGAAGATAGTACTCCAAGCAATTTCATCAAGTTTAGTTCTTTTAGCAAGAGGTAATTCAGCAGGCCAACTTTCAGTTACAGCCTTAGCACATTTCATTTGTATCAAGATAGCCTTCATTTTTTGACTCCACATATTGAAATCAATCTTACCATCAAATTGACTTACTTCAAATTTAGCAGAGGCTATGTTTAAAACAAACAAGGATCACTCAGATAAGAAAAATAGTTTTCACAGATTCACAGAGAAGTGATAAAGAAGGCACTAATATGTTATTCAATCTCACAGTTTATCACGAAGTGGTAATCGAGATTATGAAAAAATATAATGCACATGACATGATCAAAAAAGATCAAGAGTCCAATGAAAAATATCAGAGATCAAACAACAGTGTTCCACAATTTCTCCTACAAGATCTTCCAGGTACACACCCGTTCTTGATTTATCTCAGATTCCCAAGGCCTCAAGGAGCCTTTGGACAAAGATTAGTCTCAAGTGGATTTTTAGCGTACGGTAGGTCAAGGGAAAAATAAGGAACCCTAATTTCTGAAAGGATATATTTACAGAAAATTAAAAAGATCTCACCGAGCAAGTTTAAAACTCGAAAATTTTCCAATTTTGCTTTGAAGCAATTCCAAAAATTTCAGATCTGGAGCAGATCCTTCACCTTCCTCCAAGATCCAGGTATCACGTTCCTCAGTTAAGGCTCCAATACCACTGTAAGGCCAAGACACACACAACATTAAACCAAAACCATGAAATACTGAGTACAGAAATTAAAGAATCAACACAAGAATTGTTTCGGCCTAAACCCCGGAGGTTCGGCGACCAAATCAAATGCCTACATCCTCCGTTGAGCATCCAACAAATTTGGATAATGCTTAGTTGCACTATACAGCCCCAAATTAGCAA